TATGGGGCCAGTGCCCTACTCCTTTGAGCCACAGGCACTGCCTGGGAAAGTCAATTTTATTTAAAACAATTAAAATCAACTTTACCTTTTCCCCACTCAAGATGCCTCCACTAATACAGTTGTTTTCACTTTTCTAGATTCCCATCTGTTTTTATTCAGATGGGTCCTTTTGTACATAGATGTCATCATGCACATGTAGACTTCTAGGCTTTAATTTACTGTTTTTTACTCATATCTGTTTTCAAAAACATTTCCATGTGGCTTGGCGCCTGTAGCCCAGTGGTTAGGGCACCAGCCACATGCACTGGCGTTGGTGAGTTCAAACCCAGCCCAGGCCTGCCAAACAACAATGACAACAACAGCAAAAAAATAGCCAGGCATTGTGGCAGGGTGCCTGTAGTCCCAGCTGCTTTGGAGGCTGAGGCAAGAGAATTGCTTAAGCAAGCCCAAGAGTTTAAGGTTGCTATGAGCTATGACACCACAATACTCTACCAAGGGTAGCTTAGTGAGGCTCTGTCTGAAAAAAAAAAAATTTCCATGTGGATGTATGGTCTTTCCTATATATCACTGTCAGAGCTGACATTCCACCAGATGGAGCTGCAGTTCCCATGACTCTGCCCCTGAACTTGGACTTCAGGCTGTTAACACTTTCTCACATTGCAGCTTTCTATTGTGTACGTATTTGTGCTTAGAATTTTTGCATTCTGTTGAACAATTTTCTCAACTTCTGAGCAAAGGGAAGCCTGTGTCAAAAGTGCGCAGACTCCTTCAAGGCTTTTGCCAAGTATTGCTAGTTTGTCCTCCAAACACCTGCGCCCATTTGCAGAGCTCCTGACTGTCAACTCAGAGGTAAGACCACTGCCTCTCCGTGCTGGCTCAGGTCAGTGACTCCTTCCTGGAAGCTTTGTGCACAGATTAATTTTGTTCTGTCTCAGCTTCTCGAGATGGCCACTTGGCATGGTGGAAAGGCATAGGCTGACCAGTCTCCACATAGGAGGAGCTCGGCAAATTCATGTCGATTGCATAACATTTACAAAGCAACCACTGTGTGCCAGGAACTTAAACTATTATTCGACTATCATAACAACCCTGTTGAAAGAATTATTATTTTTCCTTTATAGAGGGGGAAGCTGGGCTCCAGGAAGGTGAAGAGATCTAAGTCCTTGGTCAGACGGCAAATCATTTAATATCTCCGAGTCTCAGTTTCCTCTTGGTTAGAATGGAAGTAATAATTCCCATTTTGCCAGGCTACTGCCAGGACTGAAAAAGCACATGGTGCCAGTTTTTTCCAGTAGTGAGCACTATTTTTGTTCCTTTCAGGCAGTCCTTGCGTGTGGCCATACTGGAGTGATAGTGCCTTATAGCTATCAAGTGTATTCTTAGGGGTAAGGTACTGCTTTTCATTTATTGGAGAAGAGTTCCTCATTGTGTTTTAAAATTTCCTTTCTGCTTAGGGTACTATAATGTCAATGAATCCCTTGTGAAGCGATCGCCAAAGGTATTAATGTCTTGCTTTAAATCAAAAACTGAACGTGGATTAAAATTGACGTCAACAGGCCCAGGACCCGGTTATTACAGTCCAAATGATGCCACCAAAGTTCAAAAAAAGACTTTCATCCCGTGAGTCCAAATCATTCTGATCTTTCTTTTGAAAGGTGGTTCTGGGGAAGGACCTCAATGTGGATAGAAAAGGAAGGGGTGGGGTGGCGCCTGTGGCTCAAGGAGGGGGGCGCTGGCCCCATGTACTGGAGGTGGCAGGTTCAAACCTGGCCCCAGCCAATAACTGCACAAAAAAAAAAGAAAAGAAAAGGAAAAGGTGTCACTGCTCGGCAGGCACAGTGCCAGGGCATGCTTCCAAGGGCCCTTGTTGACACATAATAGGTGCTCAATAAATACTTGTCAGATGCATAGTATTCATTGAGCAACTGCTATGTGCCAGGAACTTAAAATCTTATTCAATTATAATAATAACCCAGTTGTAAGAATTATTATTCTTACCTCAAAGAAGAGGAAGTAGGCTTCAGTGAGGCTGAGAGATTTGCCTAAATCCACACAGCTAACTTGAGGTGCTAAAGGGAATTAGGACTGTCTGAATCTTTCCACACTTCCCATGATGCTGTACGTTCTTGGTACTGACATTATTCTGTTTTTATAATATAATATCTTCTACTGGGGTGGCAGGATATACAGAAGCAGTGAACCTCTCATAGTTTTTATGCTGATGGAGTTTTAAGCCCAGACGGTGGTCAGACCTGCTGGATTTGTACTCTGGCTCTGCTGTTTTCATGCTGTGTGACCTTGGGCAGAGTTCTAACCTCTCTGAGCCTCCATGCCCTCATCTGTAAAGTGGGGATAATCTGTGCCTCATAAGATGGTTTTCAGAATTAAAAATGTATGTTGGCATATACTAGCTACAAATGTTGACTCCATAGTAACACACATTTTAAAATTGAAGACAGGGATTTGTGTTACCGTTTTTTACAGTTCTGCTCATTTAATGTTACTTTCACCTAAGGCTCAAAAACTCACAGGGCTTGTTCATTCTTCAAATAGTTCTAGAATTTCTGAAACTAACTGTAGTTAAGCTCAGTCCTGTGATCGTTTTCTAAGCTCTCAATCCTGCATAGCTCCTCCAGGCAGGGCTGGTCATTAGGAGGGCTGACCAGTAGAGTTGGACTGAGCATAGAGCCACCTTGGTCCCTCCTGGGAGGTCAGGCAAGTAGGAGGGGCCATAGCCACAGTGGGTCAGAAGTCCAGGCAACCCAGGGAGGCTAAAAGCATTGGACAGAGTCCAACCATCAGCTGAGGACAGAGTAAGAGGGAGGAGTAATTGTGAATCTGCCAAGTCAAACTTAGGACCTGGAACCTCAGAGTCCACCAGGCAAGTCCCTTCTTCCTTTTGTACTTGGGCCTCAGAGCTAAGGCCTGGGGCATGCAAACTTGTCCCTGCTCTGCCAGTGACATAGAATGGTTAAGAGGACAGGTGCTGGGGTTGGCAGACCTAAGCAGGAATCCCAGCTCTGTCCCTTCCAGAGACTTCTCTTCTCTGGGTCTCAGTTTCCATGTCACTAAGTGGAGATAAGAATCTTACAGGAATTCTGTGAGGTTTAAATGAGAAAATATTTGAAAATAGGTATTACTCTTATTATTTCTGTGTTATTATTCTGTATCCTATAGAACTATTGGGATATAGATATAGCTGTTATTTACCATAGCAGCTCAAGCCCCCTGTGCAAATCTGGAAACTTCTTCAAGGAAAGGGATGAAGTGAGGCAGGATACTGGAGAACACTCAGTTTTTAACTGTTTTGCCCACAGAAGTGTCTTTTGGCTTTTGCTTAAGTTTGGACAAGTGGTTTGAGATAATTCTCATTTTATGGTATTTGCATCTGTCAGTCAACAGGCTCTGTAGGGATCTAGTTCTGTGCTAGAGGTTGGAGGGGGGCAGGTGAACAAAACATTATACCTTTAGCCTGAATCCCAGGGCACACAACAAAATGCTGGGTCATGTGGGTCCCAGGGGGCAGTGTGTCTGGGGGTACCTGGGGCTCACAGCCTCTCTGCTGATGCTTCATACATAGAAGGTCTTTAGTTAATAAGTCTAGGAAGCACTGGAGAGTAACTCTCTGTCCCTGGGAGCACCACAGTGTACACAGGCATATTAAAGGCTCCGAGAAGGCCTGCAGTAAAGGAACCTGTTAACCCAGTATCTCTTAAACATAGGTGCACCTAGAGGAGTGGATGGCATCCCAGGCTCTACAGCGGGATGTAACTGGTGCTGTGGTCCAGGGCTGCTCTCCATCCCTCTGGGATCTCATTTCTCCATGAGTGAAAAGGGGAGCCATCTTCCCATTTCTGACACATCATGACCCCAGGTTTGCTTGCCAGGACACTCAGGGGAGTGCAA